TTTGACCCTGATTCACCACCTTTTACCTGCGAGTAAGTTTTCATTAAGATGCATGCAATGTATGTGTTGTTTATTATGCTTTTTTTTTGGAATTAACTTCGTACTCCGTATATTTTAGGACTAAACATAAGTCATTTTTCAATGTAAGACTTGAACTTTTTTATTTTTTAAATAAGACTTAATAATGACTAGTGAGAAGAATGATGTCCAAGTGATGCTAGACATTTAGTTGAATAATGACTAATAGATAATGACCAATGGTCCGCGAAATAAAAACATATGGTTCTATATTGAGAAAGTCATTATGTTTTAGTCTTATTTAAGTAAAATACCCTTTTCTAAATAGCACTTAATGTAGAAACTAATTTACGTCAAACTGTGTTTTCCATTAGTCACAGGAGATATATATACATGACAGAGTACAGTAGCTACGGGCCCATAATATACGTGGCCCAATACATGATAAACAAATATTTACAAATATATTAGGCTAACACTCCCCCTCAAGTTGGAGCATGAATATCATAAATGCCCAACTTGGACAATAAACTGTGAAAAAGAGGACCAGAGAGAGCCTTTGTAAAGATATCCGCTGTCTGAAAGCGCATAGGGACATATGCAGTGACAATATGATGACGCTGAAGGCATTCCCGGACTATATGACAGTCAATATCAATGTGTTTCGAACGTTCATGGAAAACTGGATTTGCCGCGATGAACAGGGCAGACTTGTTATCACAATATAGACGAGGAGTTGCAACGCACAGTACATCCAAGGCGGCCAAGATCCCACACAACCAACGAATCTCAGCACAGGCATTTGCCATAGCACGATACTCAGCCTCCGCAGAAGACCGAGAAACTGTATTCTGTTTCTTCGTGCGCCAAGAGACAGGAGAACCACCCAAGAGAATAAAATAGCCAGTGATAGACCGCCGTGTGAGGGGACAGCTGGCCTAATCAGAATCAGAAAAGGCGGTGAGGGCGAGATTACTATCGCTGCGCAACAAAATTCCCTGACCAGGATGGCCTTTTAAATACCGAAGGACACGAAGAGCCGCATTCCAATGATTAAGACGAGGAGCCTGCATAAGCTGAGACAGAGTGTGAACAACATAACATATATCAGGACGAGTGATAGTGAGATAGAGCAGACGGCCCACAAGACGATGAAACTTAAGAGGATCCCGAATCTCAGCGCTAGTGGAACGAGCTAGATTATGATTAACGGGCAAGGGTGTTTCGGCAGGTTTACAACCAAGGAGATTAGCCTCCTGAATAATGTCAAGGGCATACTTTC